AAAAAAAAAAAAAAAAAAAAAAAAAAAAAAACATAGCGCTACGCATAGTACGCAATACATTAGGAGACTGACAACAGAGCGACAAGAAAGCTAGAAATGTACAAGAGTACACCACGAGGCAGGCATGATATACTAACAAGCGGCCAAGTGACAATGCACGATGGATGAGGAGTCGCTCGTACCGTACCAACACAAGGTATGATATACTAAGTCAAGTGAAGATACACAAATGCGGAGTCACTGAAAAACTCAAAATACCAGTCGCTCATATCACCTCCCTCCCTACCTCAAATCACCAATGCATCCACTCTTCATCAGCTTTGTCATTGTCTGCATGATAACATTGTGATCTATAGAATCAAAACACTTTTGCAGCTAATAATGCTCCTAATATCATGGAACTCTTTCGCATATCGAACATAATAGACTCGGAAGTTATGTCGCCTTCGATGGCCCAGGTTCACGTTTGCTGTTTTTGATTCCTATACATGGAGGCTCGCAAGAGTCGCAGCAGCGGCGGCGGAGCGCGCCTCTAACAGGCTGAAAAGCATGGCTGCTGCAACTTCCTGCAATCAATAAATATTAACTTTCTCTTTGTCGTCGTCCCTCCAGTATGACCTGCATCATAGCTTTCCAGAGCTGAGCACAATCCAATTTTTGCAACGTAACATAGACATCTCTCACTACACAGTACATTACGCATGGACAGACTGATCACAGTGCATTACGCATGGACAGACTGATGACAGTACATTACGCATGGACAGACTGATGACAGCTAAGCTACAAATGTCATGTCTGAAGGGCAAGTACACCACATCCTCACAAGCCATGCTAGAGTATGCCAAGTGAAAACAAACTAGCGAGACGTCAATCAGAGCAGCGGAGCTCCATACCTACCTGGTACCTATACCTATCTGGCCACCTACCTACCATAGCAGTGCCTACCATAGCAGTGCCTACCATAGCAGTTCTAGAACAGGCCATAACAGTGGAAACACACACAGCCTATTGAGCTATAAGTGAAAACGGTACAAAGTAGTACAAACTTATGACAACGCATGAGACATATAGGGCCTCTCTCAAGCGTCTCAACGACTTATCAAAAGTGGGCTATAAGTGAAAACGGTACAAAGTAGTACAAACTTGTGACAACGCATGAGACATATAGGGCCTCTCTCAAGCGTCTCAACGACTTATCAAAAGTGGGGGAAGTGGATAGTAAATGAAGTTTTTTTTTGCAGGCTTGTTGCGGAAGGCTACTACACTCACCACTTCATTTGGGAAGAGTAGAAGACAGAGGCACATACTTGCGGAAGGCTACTACACTCACCACTTCATTTGGGAAGAGTAGAAGACAGAGGCACATACTCCAGAAAACAAGGATCAACGCTCTGGCCAAGTACAACGAACCAGAGTCGCAAATCTCGCACACGTCACAGTGCAGAGAGGGTAATCTTTTTTTTTTTTTTTTTTTTTCACCATTTCTCCATTTACGCGTGTGTCATCCTTGCGCAGGGACCATTGCTAATCTTCTCTTTCTTTGTATCGTTCCAATGTTTACGGAGGGAGAAAAACCGATGGATATGGATACCTCGCTATGAAACTGCATCGAGCCCCCTTGACTTGCCCCCGTGTGCATGCAATACCTCTCTTTTGTTTTGTCATCCTTGCGCAGGGGCCATGCTAATCTTCTCTTTCTCTGTATCGTTCCAATTTTAACGGAGGGAGAAACCGAAGGATACCTCGCTATGAAACTGCATCGAACCCCCCCCTTGAATTGCCACCGTGTGCATGCAATACCTCCCTTTTGTTGTGTGAACTCTGATCTCACAGCTGAACTTGTTCTCTGTTTCACTTTCACAGCTGAACCTGAACGTCGAACGCAGCAAAAGGCAACTGTTCTGTTCTGGAGTTTCCTTTTATCTGGCATGTTTTTTTTTCCTTCTCCCCTCTGTCGCTTCGCAGCAGCGCAAGAGGAGCCCCCACCCACAACTCGTGTTGTACAGGCCAAAGCATCGATTTGCAATTTTGCACCAACCATCCTTCGTGGCCTCGCAAAGACTCTGAAATTCTGAATTCCTGGTCACACAGCCCCCCACTGCTCTTGTTGAATACCTGCGCAGTCAATCCCCGATAACAGCGCAATCAATGCTGGCAGGCTTTTTTTTCTCTGAAGGGACGCTGGACCCGTTTTCCAGCAGGTGCCGCTCCCCAGGATTCTTGCCGGAAAAAAAATAAAAATAAATAAATAAATAAATAAATAAATAAATAAATAAATAAATAAATAAATAAATAAAATCCCCACTGCTCATGTTGCATACAAGGAGAGAGGGATAACAACCAACCAACCAACCATTGTCAAAGCACTCTCTCGCTTCAAACTCGCAAGAGTCGCAACTAAAATGACTCTACAGCCCCTCGGTAGGTACATGATGTACCTGGGGACCGACAACCAAGCGCTATCAATCCTTCTCACTCATTGAGTACTGAGACTTTTGGACTTCCAGCACACTATAGGAGGGCCTTTGTAGGTCTAATGGAGGAAGGCATACTGGTGGTAGCAGAGGCGGAGGAGGAGACGGACAGCACACAGGCCAAGGTGGAGGCCAAGGTGGAGGCAGAGGAAAAAAGCAGGCGCAGAGGTGGAAGGCAGACATGGGCAGCCTACGTTGAGCTTGAGCCGGAAGCGGACATCGGACATGGAGGCAGAAGCGGAAGCGGAAGCGGAAGCGGAAGCGGACATGGACAGCATGTGGAGCCAGAGCTGGAGGCGGAGAGCGGTTGCAGGAGTTTGAAGATGCACGTGGGAGGCAGACAACAGACTGAGAGCGTCAAAGGCAGATGGGGATGTGCAGCACGCGCCACGGCAAAGGTGGAGGCAAACATGAAGGCAGTGGCTGTGGAAGTACACTGGCAGAGGAGGGGGAATTGCCAAAGCTATCGAGCTGTGAGCTGTGACCTGCATCACTTGCCTATGGCGTACTTGAAAACTCTGGACTCTGGAGTGATGATGAAGTTAAGTGTTTGCAACACTTAGTGGTAGAGGACACTATTATACTAAGGCACTAGTGTGAACACTATACTTCGTGTGTGAATGAATTATACTAAGGCACTAGTGTGAACACTATACTTGGTGTGCGAATGAACGCTATATACTTAGTGCGCTTCTGAACGCTAAACATAGAGATAGTGAACGTTATACTTAGTGCTAGCAAACGCAAAGGCGAAGGCAACTTCACGAGAGTGAATGCTATACTTAGTGCACTAAATGCTATACATAGTGCGTTTCCAAACGCTAAACATAGAGCTAGTGAACGTTATACTTAGCGCTAGCAAACGCAAAGGCGAAGGCCACTGCACGGGAGTGAATGCTATACTTAGTGCGCTAAACACAGAGCTAGTGAAAGTGCGCTAAACTTAAGAGCTAGTGAAAGCTATACTTAGCAAAGGCAAAGGCAACTGTGCGAGAGTGAATGCTGTACTTAGTGCGCTAAACTTAGAGCTAGTGAACGCTATACTTAGCGCTAGCAAAAGCAAAGGTGAAGGCAACTGCACAAAAGTGAATGCTATAATCATTAATTAGTGCCCTAAACTTTTTTGAACGCTATACTTGACGCGAGCAAAAGCAAAGGCGAAGGCAACTGCACGAAAGCGGACGCTATAATTAGTGCGCTAAACTCGTGGACACTATACTTTAGCACTATCAAAAGCAAAGGCGAAGGAAACTGCAAGATAGTGAATGCTATAGTGAATGCTATACTTAGTGCAATCTACTGAACGCTAGACTTAGCGCTACCAAAAGCAATGCAATCTACTGAACGCTAGACTTAGCGCTAGCAAAAGCAAAGGCAAAGGCAAAGGCGATCGGTTGAATGCGCAGCTATGGTAAACCTCCGCCAAACA